GGGGTTGGGGACCGCTGCTATACACTACAGTTGTTAAAAGATCTCCTCACAGTGAATCTATCAAGACATCTACAGATCAGATTGGACAAAAGAGCCTCAGCTGTAGTAAAAAATATATTTAAAAGAGCAAAATTCAGTCAACTGAAGTCAGTGAGAGAAACTGCAGCACAGGGAATAAAAACTCCACCGCTTTATTCGATTTGTGTGTAGTGCCGTCTGATACTGGAGTGCTCAGTAATGTAACCCACCTGTACACACAGTCATAATTGCAGAAGTGATTATACTGGTACAGTATCTACAATGCAGTCAGCCCACACAGATACATTTGACATTTAAATCAAACACTCAAACCCTCTTGTCCCACAGTACCTGTTGTGTTTTACAGATGAGAGCACGCACGCACATTCAGAGCGTGGATTTTGTCTTGTTGTGATTAAAACATGACTCTGTACTAAAAGCGTGACAGACGTGTTTGTTCCACCTGTTTCTTAAAGTATAATTCACCTTCAGCTTACACACACTTGTCTCTCCTACACGCACACAGGTCATTTCCTCCACGTTTGTTTTGAAGTGCTGACATTAGTCAGACACTCACACACTTTCTGTTCTGCCCCGTTTGTGGGACTCTGTTATTTTAGGCGCACCCTCGGTGCACACGGCTTCATGGAAACAGACAAACTGGGTTTGTCACCGTTCTAAAAATACTCGGAAAAGTGCATTTAGGTGGAGAGAGTGACCCACTGCTGAATTTTCCTACTTTCTGTGAATCCATCAGGGAAGGAAAATCTTTATATACGACCCACATGTTCCTCAACATGTGACATCTCGGTCTTCAGATCACATGTTGGTAAAATGCGAGTCTGCCATGAGAATAACTCTGATTCTCACAATTAAACACATTATTAATGTTAGGCTTTGATTTTTCTTACATTTCGACCAGTTTGTAGTTTCTGATGTTGGTGGTTACAAATGGGAATCTCAACCTGTTGCTTTACTTTATTTTTGCACTTATAGTGTTTGCATGTCTTTTATTTATTTTTTAAAAGCCTTAACTCAGAGCTTCTTCACTTTTAACTGTGCAGAGACGATGGGTGAAGTCTGTCGATGGGGGTTGTTTAGGTCATGGAAGAAATCCTAATCGGTTATTTTGTTCTGCTTGTTTTCAGCCCCATATATTTAATCTCAAGCTCTACTAGAGTAGCTTAACGGGATTCACGGCTCAATAAAAATCCATCTGAGCTTTCGTAGAGCCCATCAGTTCATCTGCTTTTAAGGCCACCCTCTCTTTAAGCCACCTGTTTTCTGATTGGCTGCCCCTGACAAATGGAAGGTTTTAAAGGGAGGTGCTTCAGTACTTACACCTTTTACTGACAGCACATAAGTTTTAACTGTGGATTTTCTTAAACATCTAATATAGTTGAGAGAAAAAACTGATTTTTAGGTAAAGATGCTTAAAAAAATGAGATCAAGACAAATTTTTTTCATCTTTTCTCTTCTTCTCCTCCTTTCTATACTGAAGTTAAGACTTTAGGAATGTAGTGTGTTATCTAAAAAGTTATGCTAAATTCTTGCCATTTTCTTCATTTATAAACCATTAACTCCCCTCCTTCTGTCTCTGTGTATTACAGGCAGTACCTGATGAGAAACCCCTGCCCCACCCTGCCTTTCCACCACCAGGTGCCACCGCCCCACTCAGACACTGTAGAGTTTTACCAGAGGCTTTCCACAGAGACCCTCTTCTTCATCTTTTACTACCTGGAGGTAAGCTGTGTTTGTCCGTTTCTGCTTAAATGTTGTTTACAGCAAACTCTTTCTGTGAGACTGTTTTAGGTTAAATTGGATCTGCTGAATCGGAATTTGGAGGATGAAGATGATTAGTTTAAATGAAAGAAGGGCCTGTTAGGGAGTCCAGGGTCAAGACTAAATTGATTACACTAAAGTCAGATTTAATTTAGGCTCATGAGGTATTTATGAATCGTATTACAAGTGAAATTGAGGATTTCTTTCTCCTCGGAGCAAAACGTGCTCCTAATTTAGTCTCATTTCTCAGCACTCGTCGTCTCCTCTCCCCCTCTCTGCAGGGCACTAAGGCCCAGTATCTGGCAGCCAAAGCCCTGAAGAAGCAGTCGTGGAGGTTCCACACCAAGTACATGATGTGGTTTCAGAGGCACGAAGAACCCAAGACCATCACTGATGAGTTTGAGCAGGTGAGAATCACATCTGTGTGTTCAGCCGCAGACTTTTAAAACTTTCTGCAAACGTTCAGTTGTGCGCCTTCCTCTTTGTCTTCAAACTTGGTGTTTTCTTTGCTTGTTTTAGGGAACATACATTTACTTTGACTATGAGAAATGGGGCCAGCGGAAGAAGGAGGGCTTCACGTTTGAGTACCGGTACCTCGAAGACCGAGACCTCCAGTGACGTGCAGAGAGACGCGACAGGACTGACAGCTGAGAAAGTGAGAGATGGACGCATGAAGAAGGTTGATCCACCTGCTGACATTCCTGGATTTGACCTCAGCTCGCTGGGGAAAGGAGACGTGCGGGCCGGAGGGGGGCGGGCGGGTTTCGTCCCTCCTCCTGACCCTCCAAATCCCGCCTTACCATCCTCACCCCGGCAGTGATAACCCCTCCCACTCCCATCATCTCCTCCTTTCTTCTTTCTATCTCTTCATCAGCAGCCTTTTTTTCAAATAAAAAATTTCCTGGCTTAGACAAATCACACAAACACACACAAAATAATCACGCGTATAATATTCCGACTATCCCCTGCCCTCGACTCGGAGTTATCCTGTTAATTTGGCTTTAAAACTGTTGCTTCTGTTAGCCCCGCCCTTTAAAGGCCAAAGATTATTGGTCAGTTACATTCTCAGCGCAGGCTCTGTCTACTTTAAACAGACCAATGTGAACTCCATCAGTGCTGTAACACTTCTCAGACTCGCATCAGCTGAGAGAAATGAATTTTAAAATCAAGCGAGAAGCAAACGGGGACGCGTCAAAGAGGACGAGCAGCCAGCTCTTTTCTGCTTCATGAACTTGACAGCCGCTAATGCGACGCTTCACATAACCTGAGACATAATGATGCTGAGCTTCTGCCTTGTTTTCCACTGGTTTATAATCCAGATTAATTTGGATTCGGAGTAGTGGAATAAAATGATAGCAGGGCTTCATATCCGTGGACACACATCATGATTTTCGTGTCCGTTAATACGTCAGTCTTTCTGCTTCAGTCAAAATTAGGTGGTAAACTTGAACAGCCACGTTGAATCTACAGTGAAATGCAGTTGGTGGCCAGATTATTAGGCACAGCTGTGCACTTAAATCGCTCTTCCGTAAAATCGACCTTCACGATCAGTGCGGTTGTCTCCGTTATTGAGGTGTTAACAGTGAAGTATTGGTTAGAGGTGGTGCTAACCAGGCTCACCTGCACCCTTATATATGTAAAAGTAAAGCTCATCTCCATAACAACGAGCTGATTGGGGTCTTGTTGGAGTAACAGGAAGTCATTCACAATAAATGACTTCCTGTTGGAGTAACAGATTCATTCATTTACAATGAATGAATCTGTTTTTTAAAAAAAAAATTGACTTGCAAATTTTGTTTAAAGTAAAAGTAAGAAGAACTAATGAAAACCTAATCATGAAATTTAAAATTATTTGCTGTTCTGCATTTTCGGATCTATTTTTCTAACTCGTTATATCATCAGACGCGGAAGGAGATGAAATAGAGCAGCGGATATCAGATGCTGTAGGTGAGGCTATTAATGAATGAATTCATCCGCCTCAACAAGCGAGTAGAAGCTGATATTTAGGCCTAGCATCTCTTCCCCCAGTGTGGCGGTTATCATTGGAATCACAGGTGTCAAGTTCCTGAGGTGCAAAAGTGTTGGATTTCTGTGTAAAACAGCTGATTAATGAGGTCAGCTGCCCTGCTGCTGTGACGATGAGGTGTCCGTTTACAGCTCTGTGGAGGTGAAGCTCAGCAGAGTTAGCTTCTCTCTTCTGGTCTGTTTGGGAAAACAAGCAACCAGCAGCCGAACAGGTAAACACTGGTCGTAGGTGGCACCTCAGGCCTCGCTCGCACTCCAGAGGTCCCGTTTCTTGTTATTGTCGTTGTCGGTGTTTGTTTACTTGTGAGGTGGTTCATGCTTTTTGTCCGCTGGTCTAAAAATATCCCGCCCTGCCTACTCCCGTCTATCCGCAGAGGAGGAGTGTGACAACGCAGCCGGCGAGGTGTCGGTAGTAACTGTCTTTTACCTGGTGGGCAGCGTTATGTCATAGTTTCACAAAAATGGCTTCAAACTGGGAGAAGCTTGGACAATTCAAGTTCTAATTAAATCTTCTCCTTTCCCAGTTTTCTCGTCATGCACACTTTTAATTTTTCTGCGTTCACTCGAACGCAGCGGAGGTGCACGGGGATCCTCTCACGACTACAATAATGGCACTTATGAATACCTGCTGAAAGCTCAGTCAGTCCACAGATGTTCCTCTGTAGAGTTTTTGTTTGTTTTGTTTGTGCACGGATCAGATTGTGTCCACCTTCGCTGCGCTGGGTTGTCGGCAGAGGTTTTCCCATCCAGCTGCCAGACAAATAGACGATCAGCTGCTCGTGTCGGTGTCTGCGCGCAGCAGGAAGATGCTAACCAGGTGCTTCTGATAGCTTTCAACAAGCTAAGCTACAACTGTATTTAGGTTTGAAGCTTTAGGCCTGAAAATACGCCAAAATGTTTTCATCCCAAGACGTCAGATACTGGCGTTTTGTCTTCAGCAGTACAGACGGGGTCGTTTTTGCATCTCTGACCAGAGCAACAGTGGACACAAAGATCAGAGAGGCCATAGAGCTCTGTTTGGGAGCTTTGTGTCCTGCTCTGTCTTGTTTATGACAGATTAATAGCGACGTCCAGCTTACTGTTGCTGCACCCGAGGGGGCTCAAGCACACTTTTAGTAACATGTGAGAACGCTAGAGTCCTCCGCACTCCGATCAGACCTTGGCCGGTCTTTAATCTGCCAGCCCCTTAGTGCAAAATCTGTGTGGTGCATTGGTGATCTATCACATAAATCAAGCCAAATATTTTCAGGACTGCGTGTGGGCCACTTCCTGTTTTGTGCCACATGTGAGAACTGACAAGTGTTAGAAAACAAAAAGCTCCTGACCTGCTCTGTTCGTGAAATCA